TAAAATTTACATTTTCAGAATCCTCATACCCTCACGAGTCTAACCATACCAAAATTATCCAATTCCGATACCATTTGGTCCTTCAAATCGTCAATTTACATTTTTGAATGGTTTCACAATTTTCTTTCCAAATTCCATCCCAAATCACGAATTAAATGATGAATTCAGTGATAGATTCATGTGTTCTAGCCAAATCTGAGTTAAAATTACTTACCCCGATGAATTTCTTGAAAAACCTTCGAAAAATCGCCAAAATCCGAGCTCTCTAGGTCAAAATATCAAATAAAACCCAAAACCTCGTATTTATATAGAGTACCCTTCAAGTCAAACTCATGCGGCCGCGTCCCACTTCATGCGGCCCGCATCCCTCTCCATGCGGCCGCACTCTATGGTCACGCGGTCCGCGTCAGTGAAGTTCAGAGAAGCTGCCAAACCCATTCATGCGGCCGCACAACAACTTTGTGCGGTTCGCGCCAGTCTTCATGCGGCCGCATTCCAACTTTGTGCGGTTCGCATCACCGCGTGGTCCGCGCGACGCCTACCGTGGCCGCGCCCATGCAGTCCTCTTGGACCTGCTATAGCTGCTGCATTTTTCTGTTATATTTTTTAACTCCAAACTTCCCGTTAGCCAACCGAGATCACCCCGAGGCCCCCCGGGACCTCAACCAAAAGCACCAACGCATCCTAAAACATCCTCCAAACTCGTTCCAATCCTTAAAACACCTCAGACAACATCAAAACCATCAAATTACATCGAATTCAAGCCTAAGAATTCCAAGAACTCTTGAATTATGCTTTCGATCAAAAGTCTATCAAATTTCGTCCGAATGACCTGAAATTTTGCACACACATCCCAAATAACACAATGAAGCTACTGCACTCTCGGAATTCCATTCCGACCCCTATATCAAAATCTCGTCTATCAACCGGAATTTGCCAAAATATCAATTTTGCCAATTCAAGCCTAAATCTTCTCTATAACTCCAAAACCCATTCCGATCACGCTCCTAAGTCACAAATCACCTCCCGAAGCTAACCGAACCATCGAAACTCATTCCGAGCCTTCTAACACATAAGTCAACATCTGGTTGAGTTTTCCAACTTAAGCCTTCTTAAAAGAGACTAAGTGTCTCATTTCTTACCAAGTCCTCTCCAAACTCGAACTAATAAACTCGATCACATAAAACACGGATAACGAAGCGTAAGGAAGCTGAAATGGGGGAAATGGAGCGGTAACCCATGAGACGACTGGCTGGGTCGTCACATCCTCCCTAACTTAAACAAATGTTCGTCCTCGAACGAGTCAAGAAACATACCTGAAGCCTCGAACAGGTGAGGATATCTGCTCCGCATATCCCGCTCGATCTCCCAGGTAGCCTCCTCCACGGGCCGACCTCTCCACTGCACTTTCACTGAAGCTATATCCTTTGACCTCAACTTCTGAACCTGACGACCCAAAATAGCTACTAGCTCCACATCAAAGGTCAAATCATCATCCAACTGAACCGTGCTGAATTCCAAAACATGAGACAGATCCCCAATATACTTCCGGAGCATAGAAACATGAAATACCGGATGCACACTAGACAAGCTGGGTGGCAAAGCAAGCTTATAAGCCATCTCCCCAATCCTCCGAAGCACCTCGAACGGCCCAATAAATCGCGGACTCAACTTTCCTTTCTTCCCAAATCTCATAACCCCCTTCATGGGCGAAACCTTCAGCAAGACCTTCTCACCATTCATGTAGGATACATCTCGAACCTTCCGATCTGCATAGCTCTTCTGACGTGACTGAGCTGTACGAAGGCTTTCCTGAATCACCTTCGCTTTCTCTAAGGCATCCTGAACCAAGTCTGTTCCCAACATCCTA